TATTCAAGTGTTAAGGAGCTCGAATATTGTATACAGAACAGCAGATCAAGCTACCCTATTCTGTGTTTAGAGAATTTTCAACTTTATGACAAGGATGTTAAATTTTCGATTGAAGAGGCAAATGGGCAGTTTCAGGGATGCTTGATTAGCTGGCATCTGTACTTGGTATGCTTATAATTATGATCGTTACAAGGTGTTAAAGCATTTTCCAGTTTAATGTGTTGTAATAATAATGATATTTAGGTGATTGATTTGACAAAGAACTGCTTTTTATGCTCTTCAGCTTCTTTTCTTGATAGGGATGATTTGTTTTTTTCTTCTTAACCATCTGAACCTAGGCAATAATAGTAAGGAACCAGAAAACGTTTTTATCTCCTAATACGTGATACTCATAGCTGAAAGAAATTTGTATAAAGATCTCCCATCTCCATATACTTATCATTTAAAAAAATCTGTTTCGTAAAAAAGGTTTTTAGAATAACCTTCAACTTTCACCTCATCTTCCCAAACATTTTCTCAGAAATATCCTACAAGAATTCCTTAACAAATCACAAATCGTTGCTTCTATAATTTATCATAGCTATTCACAAAAAGGATTGAAATAAAATTCAAGTAACACGAATAGCGTCCCCTGTGGTAGTCCCGATTCAAAGACGTGTTGGCGCGAACGTGAGAGAAACCATAGAGACTTGAAAGCGTGACATTCATAGACTAAAGAGTGGCGACAACTCTACACAATTGTGAACATAAAAAGGATGCTTTTGAGTTTGAGTTTGAGTCTTTTTATCCTTGCCCGTTGCGCAGGTAGATTTTGTGTAACATAGAATTATGAACGTTTGTTAATTGGCTTATTGGTGTAAGAAGATTACAGTTTAAAAACTAGAAATCATGGATATTTATCTGCCTAAAAAAGGCGAAATTGCTACTTAAAAAAGACCACCTAGACTACGTTTGAATCAGACTGAAGAACAAATTGCTTTTTTTTTATTTTCTTTCCTTCTCTTCAAAATTTAATAAGAGACACAACATATCAAATGTCATCATCAAAGCCTGTAATTCCGCTGCTTCTTTTTCATATACGTAATGCCAATAAGACTCAGTAAGAGTGGTAGGTGCCGACATGATTTTGAGATTTTCTTTGGCTTACTATTTCAGTAAGCTGAGATTTCCCAGTGAAAGTTAGTTATCTAGAGGAACAGCTCGACATAGCAGCCACTGCAGACTTGACCTTTGCCTTGAGTGCGTCACGTTGTCACGTCAGGCTAAATATAAACGTCGTACTGCCAACCTTGTACCGTATGAACTAGGTTTCAGTCTATCAAATAAACTGTTCCATAAATACCTAAGTTTTTAACAAAAAATTGGTAATCGTAAAATTTTTCATTGTCATTTAAAAAGTTTTTCAGAAACATGACGTATTTATACTCACGCTTTTACGAATAATAACGAAAGTATTTCCATTTTGTGGTTTGTTGCTTTAATTTAAGATTGAAATTGATGAGACTGATTTAATACATGTACAACCGGAATGATACCACGGAGAAAACCGGCGTGAAACACCCACAGCGTTGTGTTTTGCCGTGTGAGAGATGTTATTAAAGACCCAATCTTGGTAACTTCCCATTCGCTTATCCCCAAATTCTCAAATGCTTTACTACCCTTAAATGGCCGGCAACTCTCGCGTCCCCTCGCTCCTCCTTGAGTATAACAGGTGTCCATGGGCAGCGCTGCTGACCATCTATTACATAAAAAAGCTGAAAATCAAAAGCCCGTTTTAATAGTTTACCTCCATCCACTAACAAAACACAAAACTTCAAGAGGAAACATAATAATATATCCAAACACTATCATTCCCAGAAGACATTGAGTACAGAACACTCCCTTTCAGCTACTGCCATATCAACAACGTATTAGCATTAAAATCTGTGCCCCATAAGGGTACTGGGGACAGACAAATCGCTCGCGCTTACGCAATTTGTCAACGTAATCCTTCACAAAAGGTTCAGGAATAAATTCAAGTAACACAGTCGTGGAACGAATCCCTACGGTGTGGTCTAGGATTGACGAAAAATGGGAGATGCGCTTGTCTGCGTATAATGTTTTGGCATCCAAAACGAAACCAAGTTTTTTAGCAAATAAAGTTTGTTTTTGTTTTTTATGGACTAAGTCGGCAATCGCGCTAACAGGACACTCTTAAAACTAAAAGAGTTACAAATGTGTAACCTATCCTTTATGGGTAATAAGGGATTTAAGAATAGGGGATTTGAAAATTGAGGATACGTGAAAGAAGAATTCGGGATTCAGCAATCTCACTTTCACGATGAAACACAACGTAAGTATTGTGTACCGCCGATTTTCTATGAGGCCGTGTTATCACTCTAATCGAGTTGGCTCATTCGCGCTGGACGATAGCTGTCTCATTTACTCCATTATACAATTTTGCCACTACAATACCACAGAAGTTGCATGTGTATAAGTTTCTTTTGGAAAGGGAAAAAGAGAGAATTTCCGCAATCTATTTATCTCACTTGTTAAGACCCTTATGACCATTTTGCTAATAATATCAAGACACCACACACGTGTAACCAATCCACCAATTTTCTTGACTCCACGGAAGAGACGAGTACGTGTCACAATGAAGAGCCCAAGTGAAAGCAGTGTGACGTTTATAGAGTTGTTCTTAAAGGCTGTACTGGCTTCAGTGTCTAGGAATCTGTGATATATCGAGTTAGTTGTAATACGATGTACTTAAAGAAAATTTTATATTAAACATACAGTGTTTCTTATTTGAATGCTTTGAGAGCCTTGTACCCTTTCTGATTGAGCATAGAATTATTTCCAAAAACGGCTTTATATAAAATGGACGTCAAACAACCACTAAGTTGTGTTTTGCCATATCAGTTAGATTACCGAGGGCCCAATCCTTCCCATCATTCCTCTACCCATATAGCATACCCCCAACATTTTAATCTCTGAAACCGTAATCCTTAAAATGCCGGCAATGCACTCGTATCTCCTCTTGTTTCATGGGTGTCCTGTGTCTTGTTTTTTGCGGATTAGGGATTTGTAGATTTAGGTATTGAGGGAGGGGAAGGATTGTATCTCCGGTAACCTCACTCGAGCGGCGAAACACAACGCTGTTGTTTCAAGCCGGTTTTCTGTGAGGTCGTGGTTTCACTCCGGCAAGGCTGACCCAGTCATGCCGAAGCACATCATAAATCGAGACTTTTCCCATACGAGATTGTTTTCTCCCAAAAATATGTCAATAGTGGACTTATATACATAATTTTATAAAAAAAATATAGACACAGACAAACAAAATCGGTTTTCGTTTTATAGAAACATCTTCAACACATTAGACGCAACGCATCCACACGTACACTTGACGGCACTCACACCATCAAAAGAAGCTCCTGTCAAAATATATTTCCAACATGAAAGGGCTTGGCAAAAAGGCAGAGCGTACTAGAAGCTAGGGGAGGCACTTGAAAACATGCTTTTTCCACGTAATGCCTTTGAGGAAATTAAATAAACTGCAACACCGCATCATAAGCATCCTTACGAGCGCGCTGAGGCGAAGCAAGTTAACATTGTCGCGTACGATACGTCATACCCCTTTGGTGTAGGTATGTATATTGAAAATTCCAAAAATATTAATTTTTTGCCAACAATGTGTGTTAAATCGGATGTTATTTACTATTTTTAACAAATCTCTCTCTTGTTTTTAGAGTTTGTATCATTTGATATATAAAAAAAGTTTTTAGTATTTTTCGTGTTATTTTATATTTGTGTCAAATATTTTATATAGTAAACTTAAGTGGATTATTTCTTTGAATAGATATAGGAATACTTAAAATTATTATAATCAAGCCATATTTATTCTAACCTTTAAATAGAAAGGGGACACTTTGTGTGGTGGTTAGATAGAAGGGTTTTAGATTTAAACATTTATTAATATTTTCTTTATAGTTTCTTATCACAAACATTTCATTTATTTGTCAAAAACTCAAAGTCAATATCATTTATTCCATGTAACTAAACCATATGTAGGTACTTTTAAACGTTAAAATTATCTATATTTTTTTCATGTGATAGTTCGGCAAACGAGTTAACTGATTACGTGATGGAACGCAATCAGAGACACCCGCAACAAAGCAAGAGTTACGAGTGCGTTGCGAACCTTTTGGGGATTAGGAATTCAGGAATTGGACATGAAGGCCTCCGGCCTCTTCACTCACCTGGCAAAACAACGCTGTGGCAAAAAAACTCCTGTCAAGCCGACCCATCCGTGCCGAAGCATGGTATGCTAGGTATCCCACACTTAATATACTGAACACACGTTATTTTGTAAGCTACCGTATCGTCCGAAACATTGGAGCCGCACAGTCGCGGCGTGCGCGCAGCGGGGTCGTACGTGCTGGCTTCCTTTTATTTGCGGCCAAATGCGATTTTATCCGGCTTGCCTCCCTCCTGCATGCAATGTTATGAATATGCCAACTTTTTGACGTCAGACGTCATTAAAACCAGGGATTACAATTTAGTTGTGATTGCATTTTGATGTTTAATTTTTATTTATTAAAAGTTGTGTCTGTGTTTTAGTTTGTAGTGAATTTTTATTGTCTGATTAATAATATTAACTACTTATTTATTCCCTTTAAGAACAGTCAACAGGAAATTTTCTTACCTTCTACCGAAATATAACATCAATCTTCACCGGACCACAGTTGAGTGATGCTACGACCTCACAGAATATCGGCGTAAAGCAAAGATTGTTTTATTGTTTCACCATTTGAGTGAGATAACTGTAGACCCATCTTCCCTCCACACGTCCATTCGCACCATCCCAAATATCAAATCCCTGACCCCTAAAAACTGGCAACGCACTTGGAACTCCTCTGTGGGTGTTCATTAGCGGCGCCGATTGCTTACCATCAGGTTATCCGTCTGCTCGTTTACGTCTGCTCACAAAATTTCTTACCGAACGCCACTATCGAATTGACATGATAAAAACTCACACCAACCTCCTTGTATTCCCGAGTGTACGGCGCGTAGCGTTCCGCGCGCGCCTCAAAGAGCCAATAGACCACCACACACGGGTCCCTATAGGGCTGACGTTCAGCCGGGGTTGCGGGTTAAGCGCAATGAGGCACCGCGACCTCGGCCCAGAGCAGGAGAAGGAACAGGGGGGTTTTTAGTCAGTAAGAGTCTGACACTCACTCTCGCTTTACCCTGGGCGGCAGAAGTCATTTGATGATTTTCCGCTGACAAAAAAAACCTAACACACACACACAACCAAATACTACACTACAAAAGAAACAAAACCCGATCGTTCCGCAATTTGCACTAATGAATACATTGATCAACTCTTAAAATGTATTTTTATAAACATTTAATTGTTTCAACCGAACAATTATATTGATTTCTTCGATTCCTCATACAATAGTTGGACAATGTCATTGTCTTTTAGTTGTAGTTCGAAAATTATAAGCGGAACATGTGTCACTCTGCTGTCGTTGCGATCTTCGTACTTGTGAGTACATTATTTTGGTCTTCATTTAAGTGGACAGATCAAGAACAACGCTCTCTAGAATCGAAACTCGAAATTTATCTGAGAAAATATATGTATTTAGTTGTGAGCAAAGTAAAGTGTAATATCTTTAATTTGATGTCGAAGAGCTAGGGTTAACTTTATTAATTACATATTAATTTATAAATTAATTTTAAAATAATTGAGATACGAGTAGTCCATAGGGTAAGTAACGATTTACTTAAAACTACGTGTTGTTTAAATATAGTTAATTAATTATAAAACGAACATCATAACAGCTCCATAGGAGTGTGTCGCATCCACCTCTACAACCTCGGAGAATCCCGCCGATCTGCGAACAGACTGAGAACAGTGTTAGTACTGCCGCGAATATTTTACTACAAAGTACAGAATGTATTTAATCGTGACGTCATCGTCATATAATGCTTTAAATAAACGTAATAAAGAAGTACGTATCATTTTTTTTTCTATTAAGCTACATTTCAAAACGCAGACATTAAAAAAGATCTTCTCCCTAGCTCTATGGCCATTTTCATTGAAAATAAATCCTTTTTAGACACCATTTCCAAATTATCACATTAAAACAAAACCCTCATTAAAATATTTTCAATATTATTGTAATAAATAATTGCAACATGAACTGTAACGTCCAAACTTAATTTATTAATTATCAAATAATTGTGAACGATAGCCCAATCAACTAATTTAATTATAAGTAATTGATTGAACTAGTGCGTACTTCAGTTCGTTTAAGTTAAACATTGATCGATAAGTGGGCAAAATATTTACTTTGTGAGAAAATATTAAATAAAATGTTGCGCGCAATTCAATACAGTTTGGAAAAGCTCGACGAAGTTATATTACGGCCTCACAGAAAATCGGCGTGAAACAACTACAGTGTTGAGAGGTGACTGGAGGCCCAATCTGCCTCTTCCATCTCTCCTCAATACGTATCTTCTCTAAAGTTCCCACAATCTTTTATTAGCGTGACTTGAAAATAGTAAAGCATTTCTCATTTAATTGAATTACGATAATAATATTAATTTACGAAAGTCTTTATTACATTTCAAACTTATCTACTTCTATGAATTGGGTCCAATCCTCAACACGGGATTAAAAGTAGACATACAGCTTAGTGTCGACATATCGACATAGTCATAAAATGTAAGCGTGTAAACATCAAGATGTAATTGTACGATTTCAAATCACAAACTTACATACTCACAAATAACCTTGTAAGAATATAGTGTAATTCATACTTAAGACTAAAGTGTATTATATTTTTTAATTTTGTTTAATTGTCTTTTTACCGTCTGCAGGTAGGCGATACTTCAAGAAGAGCGACGGTGACTGCAGAAGAAACTATTATAACTGATGCCTGGACTACCATGCTGATATCTGCTGAACCTTCTCATAGCAGTGAAATAGCAAACGACCATGTTAGTATTTCTTAGTTAAACTCTTGCCTAGTTGACGCGATGGTTCGTCGTGAGTTCGTTTTCCATACGAAATAAGTCCTTGTAAATTCGTGTCTGAGAGTCAGGCGTATGTGAAATTGCATGTTTGTAAACGCACCCACGATATAGGAGAAAAACTTTAGGTAAAAAACTATATTTTGTAGATATGAGACTATTAACTTAATTCATATATCTATCTATCTATCTAAAAGAACCAACAGATTCGAATCCAATTTTTTGTTTCCAGGTAATAATGCAGATATTAAACGACCCTGTTATTCCACAATTAGTTACTAATGGTGATATGACGGACGTTGTACAAGGGAATGCGTACAATGGCTTCTATCCTTCAACTGTTAATTTTAATGATATATACAGCAACAATATGGCAGCAGTGCTTGGTGAGAATCCAGCACCAGATTCCAAGGACAGTAAAGACAAAGAAGACAATGCTGATATGAATAATTTCACTTTAAAATTTGAGGAAGGTCTTCTGCAGACACAAACAAGCCCTCTTGTATCTTTACCTCCATCAACTTACCAACCAAACACGTCATATTATACTACTACTGAAACGACTACGACTTCTTCTACCAGTCCAGCCAGTTCCACTCCAACAACCACTACAGAAAAACCAGAAGAGAAAAGTATCCGAGTTATACCTATCAAGAAGTATTATGAAAGAGGAGTCCTTGACCTTTTATTCCCAGCTGCTAGAGTAAAATCATTCAAGGCCGTGTTTGATACTTTTAGACGATTGATGTCGCATACTTTTTGATAGTCCATAAAGTCGTTTTTTTTTAGTTATGTATATAGTGATATATGGTTTGGTAGCTGGCTGTTAAGCAACATACTCTGATCACTTTGTGTGATCCACAAATTGTTTTTTACGGGTCTGGGTGTAATGTGTATCATGTTTTTAAATTTACACACAAGACACTGACGAAGTTCCTAGTCTGTGGTATACAATGTATAAAATTAAAATAAATGTACTTAAATACTTAAATAAAATACACATATGTTTATTTAAGTTTTTACTGATTTCAGCTGACGGATGCTTACTGTTAAAGTTCTTAGTTTCGCTCAATACCACTAGCCACTAATACGCCCGACATGATACTTTCCAAATTTAAATATATTAATCAACAATAATTATTTTTATACTTCATACTACTAAGCGTCTGCCTCATATGCCAAAAAGTTCAAAATAAAAAATACACGTTCTATATTCAAATTTATCGCCTATCTAGTAGCTATTTATATTATGACACTGGTCCTGAGAATTGTGTAGCGTAAAACAGAAATTATTTGATTACTAAAGCGATGGTCCGGTCGGTATTAATGGATCGGCTCAACTGAAGTGATACCACGGCTTTGCAAAAACAAGGCATTCGTCATCATCGTCGTGTGAATGATGTTACCGAAGGCCCAGTCTTGTTCTTCCCTTTTTCCAGTCATCAAATCCCTAACCTCAAACTCCTCTATTATGTATATGGATGGCGCCCATGCTTATCATCAGTTCATTTACTTAAAAACATAAAAAATGTAGCCAATGCGCAAAATACTACTTCAATTTAACATCGAGATATCAGCCAGTAAAAAAATAATAAGGTTTTTTTATTAGTTTAATGAATGAGAAATTAAATAACTTTGATGTGGTTTGTAAGTTTTTAAGTGGTGATAGTCGAGTGCTTGTAAAAAGCGCAGTAACTACCTCCACATCGAATTGAGTTCTGAAATTTCGAGTGTCCCTGCTACTATCGTCCCTTTATTCATTCAAAGGTTTATATACTGACCTCTGAGTTTGTTTCGGCATTTCTTCTCAGAGTAGTCAGATAGGAAATGCCTATGAATGAATTTTACGTGTAAAAGTGCCGTTTTATGGCCTTTTTGCAAAAATAAATTCATTGTTGATATATATATATATATATTTTGTTGGAGTGAAATCACGAAGGCCGTGTCGGGCGAAGGGAGTGTCAGACTCTTACCCATGACTAACCCCCCCCCCCCCCCGTTACTTCTCTTACTCGCGCTTACCCCGTAACCCCGGCTAAGGTTTATATAAAAAGGGATGAATTTAAATGTGAATAGAAAGAATGTTTTCGCGTTATAGAGTTATGTTTAGAAGGTTATCGGAGTCCTCTTACTTACTTTAGGTTAGGTTACTCTCATGTTACGCATATCCAAGAGTATAGCTGATAGCTTGGTAATAGATGTGTGGTCTGTTTTTACTAAGATACAATCCTAAGGAAAAGAAAAAGAGAATTACTATATGAGTTTGTGGTAAGGCGTATCGATATCAACATCAATCGTGTCACGTTTGTGAACGGGTGCCAATCGGGAATTATCAGCTCCAGAACTTCTAGACATTATATTATTTTTCTCCGTTACTTAGAATAAATATTAGTGTAACACTGTTCTTACATATTGCAACCAATTTAATAATGTAACAAAGAATCTGTATGTTCTAATTAAAAAAAAATAACCATGCAGTTTCTTGCTCGTTTTTCTACATCTTGATCTATTTGCAAATAGCTTCAGTAAGAGAACTGACCGACAAACTGTTAATTTTTTGTAAATAACTCTTTAGAAATTCACTGCTACTTATGCACTATACATCTACAATGATTATAACGCTCAATATTATCAGAAAAAACTATTACTTGTTTTCTCTGAAACTAAAATATATATATACTACTTGGTCGCTCTTTACGACAAACTACAAAATTTTACGTCAAATTTTAAGAGAATTTTTCAATAACCATAGTTTTAAATCAATCAACTTTAAATCAATGCAATTTTGTGGTATCCCAATCAAATAATATATTCAGTGGCATAACAATGCATCCTAAATAAGTTAACGATATGATTTTTTATAATGACATGGGATAGAATTTGTTTGTGTTGGCTACCAAATGGAAATACGTCTACTAAAGTTTTGTTACTGTATGTTCGGGTATGGTTCTGATCTGGCGGCCTTTCGAGCAGACGAATTACCTGATGGTAAGCAATCACTGCCACCCATGGATACCCGCAACAACAGAGGAGTCATGAGTGTATTACCGTGATTGTGATTGGGGGAGAGGAAGAATTGGTCCTCCGGTAACCTTACTTACATGGTGGAACACAACGCTGTAGATATTTCACGCCAGTTTTCTACGAGACCATAGTATCACTTCAGTGAAACCGAACCATTCGTGCCAAAGCTTGGCCCCACCACACTTAAAATTGTGGTCCTAAAGCCCGTTTTTGGTATGAAGTAGGGCAAGCAGACGATCAGACAGATCACCCGATGGTAAGCTATCGACGCCATCAAGGATTGTCGCCACACCAGAGCTATTACAGATGTGTTGTTTGTCCTTTTGGCTGATAGGTTATTCACGAAACTCATTCACAGAGTTCTCCCATATGAGAAATACGGTCTTTATCTCGCAATTATTACCAAAGGCCTACAGCGCCAATAGTACGGCACGACTACTCTGTACAACAGCATACTTGACTAAAACGTGATTCACACTGATTGCACTAATTACACTCGACACGCTCGCACTTGAGTCTGAGCGCTTTTAAGCGCTTAAGCGCTGTTGAGCGAACGCTTGTCTTCAATTAATTTTTTGGATTAACGCCAAATGTTAACGGCGGACCATTTCTTAGCGGAGATAAGTTTTAGTGTTAACTTGCAATCGCTCGTAGCAGTTGCAGAAGTAATTATTTTGTAGCGGTTAATGTCTTAACTAAGTATTTGGAGGAAACGTATGTTGGATGTAGGATATGTCTTTTACTTTATACAGCAGTTCGATGTTAAAAAATGGCTAAAAAGTGTTTTTTTTTTTAGAATAGTATAACACCATTATTAATCTTCTCTCGCGAGAGAGAGTGTCGGTCTGACTCTCTCTCTCTCTCTCTCTCTCTCTTTCTTGCTGACCAAAAACCACCTCGTTCCTTTTCCTGCTCCCGCAGGGGCCGCGCTATTATTGCGGTTTACTCGCAGTTCTGATTATAGGAAACTTTAAAAAGAGTATGTCATCAAAGTTGATTGCCTTGATTTGAATTTCATCAATTTGGTAGAGTTCCTAACAAAAATGTCATGTATCTATTTTAAACATAAATTTGGATAAAATGTAGTCAAGATATGATATGACATTTATTCAGTAAATATTGAGTCAGTTACAATGAAATATTACAGGTAATTTCAGGTATTTATATAATACATAAGAACTACATACATGTTCAGCCGATTAATGCATTTAAGTCGCTTTATCGATTGAGTCGATTAAATAATACAAAAAAGTAATAATACGTGACTCTTTATAGTTATAACAAAAAAAAAACGAAGCATGAAAATAAATTGTAGTAGGTAAGTTAATTGTAAAAACAATAAACAAACTAAGTCAAATGTGTCACAGTATATAAATAAATCATTTTATAAAAGCAGCATAGATAAAAAACAAAGGTCCACGTATTCAAAGAACAGCAAGTAAATAATAGAAACTTTACATGTATGCAAAAATATGAAGCTATGAAACAAAGCTACCTATGAAAACGCTAGTCTTTTTAATATACTACAATCTGAGAAAAAAAAGCATAGAGGACAAACCACAAAATTCAACCCTCGATATTCCAGAACCGGACTACACCAAAAATAACCTCCAATAACAGCAAAAATCAATTTCGCAAAAATAATAGCTACAGGCTCTTGAATAAGAATTGTAACCATTCAAAATCAACCTTTAAACTTAATAACAAAAATCAATTGAGTTTACGAAGATTTGCAACGACGAAAAAAAAATGGCGCCTGGCATTTATTGGAGACGGCGACATTTTTTTTCTTTTTTTTATTAAAATGAAGCAAACGCGCCGACTCAGGCCGCGAGGTGATAATTTCATATTCACGATTTATCCGAGGGGCGCTGACAGACAGACTTTCAAGTCAAAATTATGGTTACAATGTCCCCGTAATAATGTTAAGAAGTTATCTAATATTATTTCACGGGTGGATTCGTGGAAATTTTTGTTTAATTAAGTCCTTTTTTGGTATTTTTTTTTTATTTCTTGAGAGTGGAAAATGATTATATCTTTTAAATTAGAGTGTGTGTCAGACTTTTACTGACGCTGTCTATGACTGAGCTTGCACCTACAACCGGTTTGACATCGGCCTTATTAGCCTCAATCTGTGGTGATCGGATGGATCATTGTACGCTCGGCTCGCGAGTTACCCTTGCTCGCCAATAGCTTCACTAAGAAGACTGACCGACAGACTGACACTTTATATCTTTAAAATTTTTGGTTTGACGTTCAAAAGTGCCTGTATGGGTCTAATTCAACTAAATTATTTTGACTTTGAATTTGAATTACTCCTCCCCCCTGGTGTTAGGCTGTGGGACAAGCGCAATAAGGCACCGCGGCCTCGGCCTAGAGCAGGAGAAGGAACGGGGAAGGGCGGCTAGTGTCAGACGCTTACTGACTAAAAACGAACCCTCTATTCCACACCAGGATCGCTGTGCATCATTGCGCACAACTCCTAAAACTTACGTTACCGTCACTTCACTTAACTTATAAGATACCAGCGATCGCCCGCGGCTTTGCCCGCGTTGATGTCGATTTTACACTTTTTCAAGTTCCCGCTTTCCTGTTGAATTTTTTCCTGAATTTAGTTAAATATTTTTATAAACCTCACGGAGCCCGAGACCTTTCAAAGGAATGCTAAACCTTGGAAATCGGTTCGTGCGTTTTGGAGTTATAGCGTCAGATTTACGTTTTTTTAGTCACACATTTATTAGGTAAGGTAGATACGTTGTTTATATTAACAAAAATAAATATTAACGATTATAATGAACGTTTAATGTTTTAACAAAATATCATAGTTGCGTCGATTCTGTCGACAAAATGTGATGAGAGGCGACAACTAAGCGCGTTCGAAACAATGGCTGGCGAACAAAGAATATGCGGGCATCACACACCACAATCAATTTACATTTGAATTCATTATTTACTACATTGTTAATTTATAATAGTTTATCAATCATCCTGTGTTTATATGGAGTAACTGTTTTATTTTTATAATAAATTGTTTTTAGAAGGAAACTTGTGACTCAAGTTATTACGACGAAGATATACTGCCCAATCCTTCCCCTCCCCCAATCCCAAAATCTCCAAATCCTTAATCCCCATAAGGTCGGCAACACAAGCTGGTCTGCCGACCTATCACAAAAGAAACTGATAAAGAATTTTTGTTGCCATGGAAAAACATTGCATAACAAAACTACTGATCTTGAGATCAATTCTTGGGTTGAATAAAGTAGTAGATTGCATTCGTTAATCCTCAAAGGTTAAATAAAAGAAGAAATTATTTTATTGGGGGGCTTAAACCATCATATTATGTCTTCTCACATCTAAAAACTACACTCAACTGACTAAAAAAAAACCAAGCGGCTGCGGTACATATTGCGTTTGACCAACAACCTCGGCTAAACATCAGCTCTATTTGGATATAGTTCTAGTTTGGCGGCGAGAGAAATAAAAGATATAAAATTCGTTTAAGTTTATTTTGTTGACAATTTCTAATGACTTACGTAAATTAACTAAGAAAACAGTAGTCGGTCCGCTACGAGATGTCACAAACGCTCATGAATAAGAGTCCCGTAGTGAGTTGAAACTAGCAGAGCTTTTCTCGTTTTATTCACGTGAGCGAGTCGTTACTATTAATAAGTTAAGCATGTCTCACGATACTTACTGTACAACTATTGTTGTTTGTTATACTGTTACAACTATTGTTGTACTGAAAAAATATTGCTAATCGGACAGTTGATTGTCCCGAATTAGTAGCAAACTTATCGTTAAAAACAAACCTGGTAGGTTTCCGTCAACGACCACTCTTACAGGCACCTTCTGCAACGACTAACTACAGACGTAATGCGTTTCTATTGAGGGCAGTTCGGAGCTTTAACACAATGCCACGTGACTTAAATATAGATCTGTTTTGCACAAGTGCAGGTACGGCAAGGCGATTAATGGCCAAATCTTTCTTCGATGCATGAAATATTTATACATATAATAGGTACTAGTCTTCAATATATTTTTATGTTTGCCTACCCATATATACAGTTAGTTACTACCTATAAGATGTTATTAGTCTGTAAGCCTTCCTTGAAATAAATAAAACAATAAAAAATATAAAGTGGTCTTACAATACCATCTAAAGTCAAACCATTTCATTATCCGAATATCACCACAAAACTTAGTTGAAATGTTAATTACATAGAAATAATACGGACTAAGGTCGAGACATTAGCAAAGTTTAACCCAAAATGAAATTCAAACCTCTGAATACAAATCAAAAAGTTAGATTTAATAATCAGTAATAGGATAACCCGATGACGCGGAAACAAACTCTTAGTTAAATGAATTAAAGAATTTTGAATTTTGAAATCGTTGTGCGAAAGTAGATTTTCATTTGACTGTTTGTTAAGATTAGATCTTTTAGGATAAAGTTTTGATATTAATGATAAATTTAATTTTTATTGTTTTCTGAATTGTTTCATTCAATGTTACGGTTAATTGAATGACTGATAGAATTGTTAAGAAAGCAGTTATAATGAGGTCTTACATTACTATTACGAACTACATATACTATAAAATCTATATAACTATAAACTTCAATTCCCATAATCATCATCATTAACAGCCTATAAGTGCCCACTGCTGAGCAAAAGCCTCTTCTCTCACGGAGAGGGTTTGAGCATTAATCACCACGCTTGCTTAATGCGGGTTGGCGATTTCAAACTTATAATTAGAAATTATAAGTCCAGGTTTCCTCACGATGTTTACGTTCACTTTAAGTCAGTGATGTTTAACTAATCATAGAAAGTACATATCTCGGCAAAATTCACATTGGTACTTGCCACGTTTCGAACCCTCATGCATGAGAAGCGGGCGCCTTAAATTCGGGGCCACCACCAACTTCAATTTCACGTATACTTGTAATTATTGCGTCATTATAAAACTTGCCAATTTTGCGTAGATCAGATGACCATGAACAAGATGATACCATTTCCATCGTACTCGTATGATTAGTGAAATTCTCCTAAGAGTTTTTCCACGATTCATTAATTCATCTCAATGTAAAAAAATAGCATTTTTTTTTGTCAGGGTAAAATCATCTAATGACTTCTCCCGCCCAGGGTAGGGAGAGAGAGAGTGTCAGACTCATACTGACTAAACCCCCGTCCCTTCTCCTGCTCTGGACCGTGGTCGCTGTGCCTCTTTGCGCTTACCCCGCAACCTCGGCTGAACATCAGTCCTATAGGGCCCCGTCTGTGGCTCTTTAAGACGCGCGTGGAACGCTACGCGCCGTATGAAAAATAGCATGGAGCGTCTTAACAAGATAATAAGGACTATCAGACTTAAACACGCCTAGTTTCCACTATTATGATATTTGCCTGTCATCTCTTTGAACCAAATTGCCATCGGAAATAAACAGCCATCAGCATTGAACAGCAAATATTATTTAATAAATAAGCTAGGCCGTTAACTGAATAACTTGTTAATCTATTTGGGTGCGACAGATATTAAAAAAGTACAAAAACAGAATACAGACAATAAACTATGAATTCAGTCAAAAATTCAACATTTATTTATACTTACTTATACTAAATTTCTCCACTATTTAATTGATTTTATTGTACTGACTAGCTTTTGCCCGCGGCTCCCTTCGCGTGAAGTAGTGACTGCCTGCAGGTTTTGGTATAAAAACTATCCTATGTCCTTTGTCGATTTTCAAACTGGCTGTACCAAAGGACATGGCCAAAAAAGTACATTCCACGTACACAAACAAAATTAATACACTGTAAAATAAAAATAGAAATATGAATTATTACGTAGTTTTTAGCCTCTCCAGACTTGACAATTATTATTAAAAAAATATATAAGTAATGTATGTGAATTCAACTTATCGTTTGTCAAGCTACGCCATAATAGTCCATAGAGAAAGATAAATAAAAAGACGTTCCAATTCCAAACCACGTGTCTTAAACTACACTCGTAGAATACGTGTGATATGATCGACAAATGCATTACACTAGGAACATTTTATTAATACGAAACTGTATTCATTGGTTCTAGTTGCATTTTATAAAATACTCGTATTATAATAATATTATGTTTTAATTTTTATTCAAATCACCGAAAACAAAAAAATAAACGAAACGGAACGTGTTTGACACTTTTGACAGCGTGTTTCTGTTAACCTTGCTGTTGTTTTGCGTTTTGGATTTGTTTTGTGGATTACGATGAGGTGCATCAAATGCGGAATAGCCATACAAAGGCTGCAGAGGCGTCTTATATCCTCGCTTTCTGCACACCATCCAACAATACTTTCGCGTTGGTTAACCAATTCTCAAATTTAGGTATGAAGTCGGAATAGTATAATACTTAGTCTGTTTTCATATGTTTTATAATGGTATGCTATTTTAAATAGTGCATCTTTTTTTCAGATGCCTCTAGACATATTCATTTGTCAACCATGCTTCTCATTACTGAATATGAGGCTGGTGAACATGAGAGACTACTGGAGCATAACATGGTTTGCCTTGGTTGTGGAAAATCGGTTCGAAAAATAAGACACCATTATGTCAGTATGGACTCTCCATTGCTGACTGGCCTAATATCACAAAATACTATTAATGTGGTAAGCATTTTGTTTTTAATTCATTATTTTATATATCTACTTGTATTTATCTATAAAAATCTATAAAAAATAGCATAATAATAGGTATGTGTGATTATACTTTATGTATATTTCATGTTTGAATAGACTTCTTTCTTTCTTTTCTTCTCATTTTACAATAACATAAAACTTTAAAACATTTGTTTATTCTAACTGGGGTTTATTTTCAGCCCTCAAGAAACAACTATGTTTGTCATGTGTGCTGGATGCGGGCAAATAGACAGGCAGTGCAGGACTTATCACGAAAGTTGCAGGTATTGGGTTCGGATAATGTGCAGGAATCAGCTTCAGACAACGTGCAGGAATTGGCTTCTGATAACAATGCAGCAGCCCCTTATGTTCAAGTAGTTAGCCCACCAGAGCCACCATTATTACCGCCTGTTTTAACCGGGCCGCTTCAAAGGGAAAGTACTACCATATTATTACCCAATTATACAGAATATATATTACAGAAACATACAATCCATATACACAACACAAACATAATAAAATACACTGTAAAATAAAAATATAAAAGTGAATTATTACGTAGTTTTATTTTATTTATTCTCCTTATTAATAAATCATTATTATTTATACCTATTCTTTTCTTTTATTTATTAAATAAATAAATAATTAAAAAGGTTTTTAAAAGCAAATCTTTTTTCGTGCACTTACGTGCCAGTAATCTGACTAAAGGTTTAGTGAAACTATTTTCGTCTTGTGTGTAGTAATTACGAGTTCTTCATGTGTTTTAGTTATTGCGATTTAATTTAACAATATTCACGAATATAAACACCAAAAATCATTGATGTACATTTAATTCAAAAACTATGCAAACGCCCATACAAAAGTTGGCCATGTCCTTTCACAGAAATCCGTTCAATAATTTAGGCGTGAAAAAAAAGCAGCCAGTCAGAGTTACTTTCGCATTTATAATATTAGTTTGGATAAACCTTCTTCTCCAATCACTATATCGATTAAAAAACCGCATCAAAATAAGTTACTTATTTTTTAAGATTTAAGCATACATATGGAAATATATGTACAGAAAAAACGACTTTGTTTTATACTAAGTAATCATATTATTGTTATATAATTATGTACCTACGAACCTACGTGATAAAATTCGAAATTCACCGGACGACCCCACGAACGCATACAACCGTAAAATGAATGAACTTTTTAACTTAAGGTCTCAACTTACCGTTTAATACTTACTTTGAAGCCGCTATGATGAACAGCGGCCTTACTTTTAATGACTTTTTGCTAATATCTAGCGGCTTTCGGCTTTTGAGGGCAAAACTTTTGGGGGCCTTCGATTTTTTTTTTCGAATAGAAAGGTGCCCGTTTAGATGTTGTCGTATTTCGTTCCGATGTTTAAGATTTACAAGGACGAGGTTTAAATTGTTTGCAGTGATCTTTTTGATCTTTCGGATGATCATGATCAAAATGATTATTTTGTATTTGAAACTAGCGGACCGCCCTTGTTTCGCACAGGTATCTATAATTATTTTCCCGATCATTTCTAAAAAAAATCTCTCATAAAAACGCTTAAAATTCTGCTTACAATATAATAAACATCAAGAAAAAATAATTACCAAAATTAAAGCGCACAAGCAACATACTTTGCGATTAATTTTTATAGTATAAGATTTTAAGCTCCTTTAGCCAAATGGTATTGCTGTGAATCAGTTATGACGGATAATGCATTCCTTAAAATGTTTATTTTCTCTGATTATTCTCGACTTTCAAACTGTGTTATGTATATTTTCTAAATGTTTACTAATATTGAATTGAAGAAAAGACAGACAGAGTTACTTTTGCATTTATAATATTAGCATAGATGAAAAAGATGGAATATAAGTAAAAACCAAAAGTGGAATATGATTATTTGATTTTAACCTTATTTTCAACAACCACCGAACCGCTTTGCTAAAAAACAGAAAATCCTTAAAACATTTAAATAACAATCAGACGTAAAGAAAAAGGTAAATAAAATAAAATTGCAATGAAACAATCAACATAAATAATTGTGTTGGGAAAGATCGTCCCGGGACAGAGGACACTCGGTTATGCAAATCCTGGGATAAATTGTCACACGATCCCGGATCATTTGCTTATCTGTTCAACATGACGTCACTGAGACAAACATAGGAAAAAATTGAGAATACTTAAATCATTAATGAATTTATCGCGTAATCTAAGTATTGTACCTATATTATAATTTTTGCATGACTATTGGTAAAATGTTGCTGATCTTACCTGTTTTCACTCCATGTATTGTGTACCCATATTTGCAAAATAAATGACTTACTTACTTACTTACTTATGTATACGGGCCGGCTCGACCGGAGTGATACCATGGCCTCACTAAAAACCGGCGTGAAGCAACACTTTTGTTGTGTTTCGCCGTGTATGTGGAGTGTCCATGGTCCCAATCCTTCCCCCTCCCTCTCCCCATCCTCAATCCTCAAATCTCCTATCCCTAAATCGCTAATAACCCACAAGAGGCCGGCATTGCACTTGTCATAACTCCTTTAGTATTCCGAGTGTCCATGGGTGGCGATGATTACCACCATGGAAGAGGCTGACGTTGGATCAAGCGCTACATACAGAAGGCAGTCCTCCTTAAAACGGCACGTATTTTGCAGAGGTTTCTGTCCCTGGAGCCACCGGTAGCTTGAACCTTGCTCCTACTGCAGGCTGGTTCTAATTTTTGTTTTTAAATATTATTTTATCATATATTTTATAGCAAAATTTATTTTTAGATTAACTTTCAAAATATGTGAAGTAACTAAATATATTACTTAATAAGCATTTAATTTAAAATTTATAAAAAATATGTCTCGTTTGATTCTTGAGTCACGAAACCCTTGAAAAACAATTTAATAATGATGAATATGCAAACGAAACAAAAGCCAAAGAGCATATTGTAATGTTAAGCAGTTCCGGGGCGGGAGACAGCGTTATGCAAATCCCGGGACAACTTGTCACGGGATCCCGGATCCGGGATCACGGTCGACCGCCGATGTCGACACCAAAGCATCTTAGAACTGTCTGAAATTAATATACAAGATATATAGATGTTTATTTGTTTAAATAAATTGTTAATGTAGCTCTTTGAGTTGGGTTTTATGGGAAGATGGCAATCTTTATAAAATTCTGTTATTCTCTACTAGTTAAACAGAAATGGTAGTATAGTTAAACCATAAAACTATGAAAATTTGAGTCCTATGACCTCCTATATCCTATTTTAAATGATAAGTATACAAAATATAGGATTCTTATAAGATTATATAAAAGTCTTATATAAAAAATATCATAGCATTTTTTTTTAACCAATGATCTTCTTTCAAGAACGGTATTTTAACGAATGGTTTTAAATAGCAATAAATTTCTATTCAACTAGATCCTTGATAATTTTATCGCCAACGTAAGTTTTTACGTATCACATTTCCCAGCTAAAATAAATCTCAGCTCGGCCACCGCGAGTGGGGGCGCCACTCGTCTATTTATCGTCATTAGCATACTGGACGCCGACACCACCACACGCTAGCGCAAACGCCCGCGCCCGTGCGAACAAAGACATTTTAATATTTAATTTTCTATTTAGTATAATTGCCCACATATTTCGTCCCCTAAAAAGTTTTAGTACGTTGATTTCACAGCACAATTCCCACTGTTTAACATTACACATAAAGCAGTGCATTTTTAAATTGACGTCAAAAACATTCTTCCTTGTAATCCTTCATTGTTTACAAAGTCTGAACCAATCTATAAACAGTTCCATCTTTTCTTTGTTGCTGACCGTAATACATTTACTCAATCATGTCAAAGATGCCGAGGATTATCATTGTGTGTGGTTACGCTTACTTTCTGATACAATACTTGATAATATCGTTGAAGCCAGTGATAACAGAAATCGACATTGAATACGTTTACCGTATGCCCCACACTATGAACAAACACAACAAAATGTTGACAACTCATTACAATGTAAGTACATACATAAAATCGTATAAAAGGCCAGAGAGATTTAAAACTGATATCAAATTCATACTAAAGTTTACGGCAACGTTTTTGAATTATGGAACACCATTATTTAAAAACGGTCAAAGCCCTTTCATTGAGAGCAATTGCACTTACTACAACTGCTATTTGACGACGCATAGAACACTATTTCTAGATATAAGAGCCTTCGACGCCATTGTGTTTGATGTCGAAAACTATTGGAATGGGCACGTTGTAATAAGACATCCCAATCAAAAATATATTTTCATGGCATCCGAATCAGCTGCCAATTTCCCTTTGTGCGATGCTATGTACGACAATTTTTACAATCTCACATGGACTTACAAACTAGATTCGGACATTCGCTGGACTTACATAACTATTATAGACAAAAAAGGCAATTTTGCTGGCCCAAAAATAAATATGACTTGGATTTATCCTATGAAAGCTACACCAGAAAATGTGAAGAAGAAAATTTCTGGAAAAACGAAAGCGGCTGCTTGGTTTGTGTCTAATTGTAATGCAAAAAGTGGACGGCAGAATGTGACAAAACGAATTGAGAAAGAATTGAAACGGTACAATTTAACAGTGGACATTTATGGATGGTGTGGCAAGAAAAAATGTCCCAAGGACAAGTTTGAAGAATGCATGTATTTGCTTGAATCCGAATACTATTTCTATTTAGCATTCGAGAACTCAATTTGTGAAGATTACGTCACTGAGAAGATTTTGTATCCCCTGCAGAATTACGCAGTGCCGATAGTGTTCGGAGGGGCAAACTATTCCAGGTATGCAATTACTTTTATAGTGTAGTTTCCAACTGGTAATATTAGATACTATCTTTTTTTAAATTTTTTGACTTGCACTTTGTGACGTTATATTTTTTTACATGATAATAATAAATCTAAAAATACTAATGCTAATTAATGAATGAAATGGTGTGATTAGTGTCAGTATTTTCATTGTTTTATTACTTGAAATAATTTCGTTTGACTTAGTAAGGCAACTACTAAATTGTGAAGATAGTTCCAATTATTTACGTAGTAGTAGGTAAGTGGGCTTAGTGGATTTAGTAACATAAGAAAAATAAGTATGTTGCACCCACATAAGAACATATACATTGAGTGTATAGAATTCCCTTTTCTTCTGCAAATTTATGTTTTTAAGTACCAGTTTAAGCGTATTTTCTCGACGCTTGAGTTCGTGACATAAATATGTATTTAATGATAATAATAAGAGCCAAGTATTATTTTGTAAAACAACATTTTGTAATGCATTATCTTTAACAAACATTGTACTCAATTCGTATGTAACTCAATTTATAGGCACATAGTTACATATTTTATAAATAAAGCCTGTTTCAGATTTCTTCCACCTGGTTCATATATCAACGCGAGAGAACAATCTGCTTCAGAAGTAGCAAAACTTATATATAAAGCGATTAAAAACCCGAAAATTTATGAAGACTATTTCAGGTATGCAGTGACATCAGGCAGGAGACGGAACAGGGTGGTTTTTTTAGTAAGAGTGGCAAACCCTCGTTCTACCCAGGGTAAGAGAAGATATCCAAAGATGCTGAGCCTTCAAAATAAAAATCACCCTGTACCTTCTCCTAGCTGGTCTAGACTGGGTTATTTAAGTTCCTGATAAACATGTGAGACATAGTCTATACAAGTTGCGTTCTATATTCAAAACTAACGGCCCGCACCCGCTTCGCACGGTTCCAACTATCTCGCAAAATTAAAGTAAATACAATACAATAAAAGAATATATAAGAACCAAACTTTTTCCCAATTTTCCCCTCTATTTTCTTTGATAAGAACCTTGTTTATTTTTATCATTGTGTTTGTATAATGATTATTTATTAATTGTCAGGAGAAACTGACAATAATAAATACAACAGAGAAAAGGAATTATGCGCTTACCAACACATTTTGCGATTCATTTTTATATGTGTGTATTCAAAATTATGTGGTTCATAGTATAAATTATAGCTACACAGATGTCTATGTATCTATAATATAGCTATACAGGAAGACTGTATGGAAGAAAAGGGGCATAAAGATACAGGCTATATTAACCAGCTTTTTTAACCTATTTCCAAAATAAACAGGTTTCTCGTTTCGAACGTATAATGTTTCTTTTTTATGTTTGTTTCGCATCACAGATAAGAAAATTTTAAAATTATTATTTAATATTATTTTCTATTTAACTAAATGAAAATATTACAACATCTTACTTTGTACAAAGTAATTTCATTTTGTGCATTTTAGTTCACTGTTGAAGTCGGTTTTTTGTTAAAAAATATTTTATAGTACAACATAGTAATTGGAAATTGGAAAGGATAGAAAAATTTTGCATATTAAAATATATATTGCAACTTTAAATGAAAATTACTCAGGAAATAAATAGCAGTGCTCTCTAATAAATGAATACTTTCAAAATACGATCTCCAATACGCCATCCTCTAAAATTGGAACGCAACGACGAAATGGGCCGGCTTGAGGAGAGTGGTTGGATGAGAAGAGCTGAAAATCTAGTTTAGTGGCATGCAATTAGTTAGGCCTATGTATGTCCAGGAGTGGACGACAATAGGCTGATGATGATGATGATGAGCAGAGTGATACTATGGCCACCGTGAAAACCAGCTTGGAACGACAATAGGATTCTGTTTCGCTGTGTTTGTGGATACTGGAGACCCAAAATTTCCCCTCCCTCAATCCTGGAATAGCTCCCAAATAGCTGGTACCCCTCGTGTCGTCGCTGGTGGTGCGGATGTGGGCGGCATCGATTACTTACCATCAGGTTAACATGACGAACACATGATGGAATGAGGGGAATATTGGTAACCTTCGTGACTTCTTATCATTCCAGATGGCACAACTACTACGAATATGTAAAGACCCCTCCAGAACATGACGTATGCAAGCTGTGTCAAATCCTCAACGAAGACCCTGGTCAGCACTCCTCCTACAAGCACTTCAGATCCTGGTGGAACCCTGACCACCCTTCTTTGTGCACTAAGGGAGTCGGCAAATTCATCGCTATGAGACCTAATTCCGATACGTTGGCAGAAATTGAAAAAAAATAATGAATTTCATGATGATCTATGGATCATCTCTAATTTGTAAGCGGATCTTTATTGATGTTTAATAATTAAAAGTTTTAACCAAATTTTTTGTTTTATTGTTTACTAGCTTTTGCCCGCGACTTTGTTCGCGTGTAATAATGACTTCCTGCAGATTTTTGCTTCAAAAACTATCCTATGCCCTTTCTCGAATTCCAAACCATGTCTGTAGCAAATTTCACACAAACAGGTTCAGTAGTTTAGGCGTGAAGAAAAGACAGACAGACAGACAGAGTTACTTTCGCATTTATAATATTAGTTTAGATAAGATTTGAGTTTGGGGTTTGCCTTTTGGATGCAGCTCAATTCTGAATATTAAAAAACAACGATACACATTAGATATTAACATAATGAAATAGATACTGGCATCGCCCGCGTTATCCGAATGAAAATCAGTGTATATATTATTATAATATTACCTATATATATTTTTGCAATTGGTTTATATTAAGTAGTCAGTAAGAGTCTGACACTCTACTTCGCCATACCCTGGGCGAGAGAAGTCAATCACAAAAAGCAGTTCTAACTGGAAACTATTAAGGTTTACAATTGTATAATATCCCCCCATATGAACTGCTCAGATAAAACCAGGCCCCCAGTCTCCGGCAGTCCCGCCGTTCCTGGCTACCGTGGTAGCGGTCAGGGTAACGGCGGGACACGGGGTGCTAAGAATCCCCGGAGGTGGAGAAAAGGCTACCACCCCCGACGACGACTGGCCCTGGTAACACACAATGTTCGCACTTTGAGGACAGACGAGAAGATTATTGAGCTGGAAGAGGCATTGGGTAGGTTGCGCTGGAGTATTGTGGGGTTGTCAGAAGTCCGACGAGAGGGCGAGGACACGATAACCCTAAGATCCGGCAACCTATTCTACTACCGGGAGGGCGAACAACTGTCCCAAGGTGGTGTCGGGTTCCTCGTCCACAGGTCCCTCGTCAACAACATTCTTACCGTCGAAAGTGTGTCGAGCAGGGTGGCGTACCTGATACTCAGGGTATCCAATAGATACTCGTTGAAGGTTATCCAGGTTTATGCACCGACCTCGACACACCCAGACGAGGAAGTAGAGGTTATGTATGAGGACATAAGTAGGGCCATACATACTAATAAAACCTACTTCAATGTTGTTATGGGGGACTTCAACGCGAAACTGGGAACTCGAGGCGATAACGAGCTGAGAGTGGGGCAATTCGGGTATGGGCAACGGAACCACAGGGGACAGAGACTGGCTGAGTTCCTGGAGAAGGAGGACCTCTTTGCGATGAACTCCTTTTTCCAGAAGCCGTCTCACAGGAAATGGACCTGGATGAGCCCGGACGGTTCCACAAAAAATGAGATCGACTTCATCATGACAACAAAGCGACAGATGTTCAATGATGTCTCTGTGATCCATAAAGTAAAAACCGGCAGCGATCACCGACTGGTCAGAGGCACATTGAATATCAATATAAAGCTGGAAAGATCACGTCTGATGAAGTCTACGCTCCGACCTTCAAATGCACATATCGGTTGTCCCGAGAGCTTTCAGATCGAGCTATCGAATCGTTTTGAGTCCCTGGAGAATTGCGAGTCAGTGGACGAGATTAGCAACAGGTTTGTAGAAACTGTCCATGCGGTCGGGTCGAAGTTTTTTAGACCCCGCCGAAAAGACAGACCGCAGAAGCTTACCGATCGCACCCTCAAACTCATGGCAGAACGACGTGCTATGGTACTCCAGACCTCTGCCGATGCTAAAGCACATCGGCAGCTCAATAGACAAATATGGAAGTCCATGCGACACGATATCCGCAACTTTAACGCCAATAGGGTTAAAGAAGCGATAGAGCGGAACCAAGGCTCCAAAGTGTTCGCTAGGGACATGTCTATTGGGCAAACACAGCTGACGAAGCTGAAGGCGGAGGATGGCAGTGTAGCGTCGACGAAGGCCGAAGTTTTGGGTGAGATCGAGAGGTTTTATGGACAGCTATACACATCGGTCACTAGACCTGTTAGCTCAGTCGCCGATCCAAGAGCTAAACTCACCCGACACTATACCGAGGATATCCCGGACATCAGCCTATACGAGATTAGGATGGCCCTCAAGCAGCTCAAGAACAACAAGGCGCCGGGCGAGGACGGAATCACATCAGAGCTTCTGAAAGCGGGCGGAACGCCGGTACTGAGAGTCCTTCAGAAGCTCTTCAACTCCGTCATATTCGAAGGAGCAACGCCGGCGGCATGGAGCAGAAGTGTGGTGGTACTATTCTTCAAGAAGGGAGATAACACTCTACTGAAAAATTATAGACCCATCTCACTTCTGAGCCATGTCTACAAGTTATTCTCGAGGGTCATCACAAATCGTCTCACACATAGGTTCGATGACTTCCAGCCTCCCGAACAAGCCGGTTTCCGGAAAGGCTATAGTACCATAGACCACATCTATACGCTGCGGCAAGTTATACAGAAGACCGAGGAGTATAACTTGCCACTATGCTTGGCGTTTGTGGACTATGAGAAGGCTTTTGATTCGATCGAGACTTGGGCTGTGTTAAGATCTCTCCAGCGGTGCCATATTGACTTTCTACGTCGGTCCTTTCTACGCCACTATGTCGGTCCAAGTACAAAACCAGAGCACTAAGAATATTCCTCTGCAGCGAGGTGTAAGGCAAGGAGACGTCATATCTCCGAAACTGTTTACCGCTGCATTGGAAGACGCTTTCAAGCTCTTGGAATGGAAAGGATCTGGCATCAACATCAACGGCGAGTACATCACTCACCTCCGGTTTGCCGACGACATTGTAGTCATGGCAGAATCGCTGGAGGATCTGAGCACAATGCTCGATGACCTCTGTAGAGTTTCTCAACAGGTAGGGCTCCGGATGAACATGGACAAGACGAAAGTCATGGCAAACGCCCATGTCACGCCCTATCCGATATCAGTTGGGAGTTCTAACCTCGAAATTGTTGACGAATATGCATACCTGGGACAAGTGATCCAGCTAGGTAGGTCCAATTTCGAGAAGGAGGTCAATCGTCGAATCCAACTTGGATGGGCAGCGTTCGGGAAACTACGCAACATCTTCTCGTCCAACTTACCTCAGTGCCTTAAGACGAAAGTCTATAATCAATGTGTGTTACCAGCGATGACCTATGGAACTGAAACGTGGTCTCTTACTGTGGGCCTTATAAAGAAGCTCAAGGTCGCTCAGCGCGCTATGGAGAGGGCTATGCTCGGAGTTTCTTTGCGAGACCGTATAAAAAACGAGGATGTCCGCAAACGAACAAAAGTTTCCGACATAGCCCAGCGGATTAGTAAGTTGAAGTGGCAATGGGCAGGGCACATAGCGCGTAGAACCGACGGCCGCTGGGGCAGAAAGGTTCTCGAGTGGAGGCCACGTACCGGCAAGCGCAGCGTGGGACGTCCACCCGCAAGGTGGACAGACGACCTGATTAAGGTCGCAGGAAGCCGCTGGATGCAGGTCGCTTCCAACCGGCCTATCTGGAAGTCAATGGGGGAGGCCTATGTTCAGTAGTGGACGTCCTGTGGCTGATATGATGATGATTGTATAATATAATTCGAGTCCGGTATGAAAGCAATTCTCTTAGTTCCCTCGTTGTAGGTACTCATTATTCAAAGCCTCAAATTTTCGCCGAGATAATTCCAATTAGGCTGCCACTGTACAAACTACTCAGAAGTTTATTTAAATGTTTTTTGTTATCAATTTTATATTTGTTCTGGAGTCTGAAGTCACAGACTGTGCCTGATTGATTATTCTCTTATTGTACATGGAGCTAATAAAATGGAATGTTAAAATAATTGACGAAAAGGAGACACACTTTTTTAAGATCATTTCTGCTGCTTGCTAGACGTAACGTGTTGTGGTTTTGATTACCACACAAGACAACTCTTTGTGTGATTCACAAATAGTTATCCCTGGTAGGTACCAGGACTACTAACTATTTGTAAATATATAGGTATATATTGCAATGAATGTGAAATTATATGTTAGCATACGCATTCACGATACTAGAATGGTTGCCCCATTCTAGGATTTTCTCCTGTTTTATGTAAAACGTTTGTCTCCTATTAAATGTGGGAGAGCCATGCTTCAGCACGAATGGGTCGGCTCGACGGCCTCACAGAAAACCGGCGTGAAACAACCACAGCGTTGTGTTTCGCCGTGTGAGTGAGGTTACCGGAGGTCCAATCCTTTCCCTTCCCGGACCCTTCCCCAATCCCTAATCCCTAAAAGGTCGGCAACGCGCTCGTAACTCCTCCGTTGCGTACCTTACTTACCATCTGGTAATCCGTCTGCCCGTTTGCCGACTTATAACATTAAAAAAAAATTGTTTTACAAAAAAAGGCAACGAGATATTTTCTGAAATTAGCAGAGATTTTATAGATGGATCTTGCGAACTCGAAGACCAGTAACAAGTTGCACTTCTGTTTTCTCTCTGTCGTATAATCCGAGTCATCGTCACCATCGGCATTTTTTTCGAGCGACATATTTAAAATTTCCGCTGACACCTTGCAAAGATTAAAGCTATTAAATTTTGATGACTGAAATCCATCGGCTCAAAATTTGGTATAAAATTATCTTTTCCTTTTCTCGTTTTGACTTTAACTATCATGGAATGAGTTAAGGTTTACGAAAAGAAAGAAAGAGAGAGAGAGAGAATATTTAAAGTGCTGACAACGCTCTTGCGACTCAAAGAAGTTGTTTTAAAGTTTAGTTTTCTCTAAACTTTGAAACACTCCTCCATCCCCGGGAGGGGCGAGAGACATTGTCAGTTATTTACTGACTAAACACCACTTAACACCACCTCCTACTTCAAGCTGGGCCACGGTATGTAATTGCGCTTAACCTTCAACTACAACCGGAGCTAGTTAGCCCACTTTTTTTATTTAAGGGTGAAAATCATCAAATGATCCTTCAACCTGGGTGGCGTGAGATCTGGGGAATTGGGTGAGGCGAAAGGGAAACTCTTACTGACAAAACCTCCGAGTTCCTTCTCCTTCTCCATACCGAAGTTTCGTTAAATTATTAAGCTCAACCCTTAACCTCTATTTGGCCTCCTGAAGCATAAAAGATGGACTTGAGCTAAAGTATTTCGAAACATATTATGGAAACACAATGTATCCACCTCACATAATTTGTCATTGTATATTGTCATAATTTGTCAGTGTGAATTATAATATTAATGTATACTTATACTATAAAGCTATAGAGTTTGATTATTTTTTTGTTTGAACACGTTAATCTCCAGAACTACTGGTTTGAATGTGAAGAAGTTTTTGCGTATGTATATTTATCGAGGAAGACTGTACGCTATAAAACATCACGCTTCTATCATATGAAGCCTAGCATCGGTTGAAACCGCGCGAGAATAGCTAGTGGATTTTAATCAACATTTATTCTTAACCGACTTCAAAAAAGGAGGAGGTTCTCAATTCGTCGGGATCTTTTTTTTATTTTCTCTCGTTCTTATGTAGTATTTAATTCTGAACATATTATAACCACCGACAAACGAAATCAACTTTGGTCCTACACATACATACATACACATTATACAGGATGCAACTAAACTGTATGCCAGACAACTGACGTTAATTACACAAACCGTTAATTGTAATGCAAACCACTGTTCCTAATGATGATCTTATTGTTATGTTTTGGGTAATAGTAGCTTCTATATATGTACTTATGTTAGATGGTTATAATATCATGGTCTCATAGAAAGTTGTCGTAAAACAACGCTTATGTTGTGATTGGCCGTGTGAGTGAGGTTACTGCAGACGCTAGACATACTTGTAAAATTCGTTATTATTAAAAAAAATATGTGACTCAAGTAATTCGGTTGTCTGCCTCTTTGGTTGAATATATGTTTTACGTTTAATTCAGGTTTATATTGTGACTAAGAATTTGATTGTAGAACTTAGTAATTGATTCTTAAAAACGTTTTATTTTTAAATATTTTGTTTGACTTTTAAATGTGTTTTATTCTTAATCATTTTCTTGGTCTAATTGAAATAAATGATTTAACTTTAAATACATGCATTACGAGCTTATGTCGAAACTATTAAATTATCTAAATAACACTATTAATAATATAAACACAGAATCAGATACATATGTTACTGAAAACTAACACTTCTCTTTATATGGATAATTAAATTAGGATAATTGTTATAGAAGATATATTAATCATCAGACAAGTCCTTGATAAAAAGGCTTCATTTTGCTTCCAGAACTTTGATTTGAATAAAACATTTATACATAATATTTAAACTCATAAAAATAAATCAGTAATATTAACTAAAAAACTTGTTCATACTTAGCGCGTAACGCGAAAGTATTCGCAACTAAGCTTATGAAACTTAATTTAACTTAAACTTAATTTTAACTTTGGTGTCGTGGGACGGGTTTAAAATTTAACTTGTAACTTTGCTTATGACGTCTCGCGTCATTAGTGTACGCGACAAACATGTTTCCATGTTAAGTTTATTTAAAGTTTGAACAAACGGTTAAACGTATGCAAGGGAGATGAATGAGAGAGTGTTTATAGTGTAAACGAGTACTAAGACTTTTTCAAACGAGCAGACGTACTACCTGATGGTAAGATAATCGGCTCCGGCCATGGAAACCTGCAACAAAGGAGTTACGAGTGCGTTGCCGGCCTTTTTGGAGTAAGGGTGTCGGATATTTAGGGACATATGACGAGAAGAAATATTTGCCCTCTGGTAACCTCACTCACATGGCGAAAAACAACGTTGTGATTCGGTCAGCTCGAGCGGAGTGACACCACGGACTCACAAAAAACCGACGTCAAGCAACCACAGCGTTGTGTTCCGCTATGTGAGTGAGGTTACCGAAGACTCAATCCCTTCCCCGCCCCCATCCCTTCCCAATCCTTAAATATCTGAAACCCTCATCCCCAAAAGGCCGGCAACGCACTTGTAGTAACTCCTTTGGTTTTGCGAGTGTCCATCGGCGGTGCCGATTGCTTTCCATCAGGTAAACCATCTGATAGCATATCGACCTATCACATAAAATTAAAACAAAAGGGCCATTTTTTCTTCTGGTACATCGAAATTAGATACAAAATCTAGTCGTCAAAATTCTTACCAAGAATATCAGACTAGTACGTTATAACTTTATGAAGAAGACGCATGGCTCCCAATCATAAGATAAACATACTTTCAGTTCAGACGAAACTTATTTAAGTGAACTGCAAGTTGACTCAAAGTTGGAGAGAGTTCATCTTAAATATTGCCCTGCGATTTATTTGCGCTGTTTACTCTAAGTAATGAGATGGTCTGTCTTTGGATCTTAAAAGTTGTTTTAATTTACCGTCTCTATTAGTTGCCGAAGTTATATAGTATTAGAGTTGTGGGTGTAAGTGCCACGGAGGCAGGAAACAGAACAGGGTGGATTTTAGTCTGTAATAGTTAAAGTAAGAGAAGTGTGTTTCTTGTTCCTTATGATTTAGTTGGTATAAAATGTGTTATAAGTTACTTTAATGACTAATAATTTACTGTCTAGTAATTGTAGAGACATGTTTAAGCTAACCAGATAATTACTTGATTTTCAATGATAATTTTTCATCGCCGAAACTTAAATACAAAATTTCATCGAAAACGCTTGAGCCGTTTTCGAGATTCTGGTTTTTCAAGAATTTCTCGTTTTGCACATTTTAGATAACATACATATTAACAAGGTAATAAACATTAATATAATATTAAAACTAATACAAGAACAAACTCACAGCAGTTCATTAGAGACGGAAGGGGCCTCAACTAACAAAATAAAGTGCGTAAGTATCTACGTAACTGGGGAAAAGCGAAGTTTTCTACAAAAATAGCTGTTCCGCTAACGAAATCTCCGGGAAGCGATGTCTGTAGGAACTTGTTAATTAGTTTCGCATCTACTACTTTCTGTCTGTACGGCTTACGACCACTGTTTATATCATCAACGGTTTATAGACCAAATAGTCGGGTAATCTCGCAAGAATTTCGAAAACAAAAGAACAAAAGGAAACGCTGCTGTTTCGTTCATATCGATTTTGTAGTGTGTGCGAAATACAGTTGCGAATGTGAAAGTCGAAAATTGAGTCTCTGAATATAAAGTTTTAGCGTTGCATTTTCGTTTCTAATACAATAAAATTTAATGAATTCATTTCTTTATAGGCTTTTGTTTTGGCAAACACTTGATCTAGTCTCAAAAAATGTACTATACATGTCATTAGCCGAAAGCGTAGATTTGCGGACGGCGAGCTACCCTTATTCTACCAGACTATAACCAAACCCGAAATTAGGGAGCGTATAGGTAAGTGTTCCATGCGCGTCTCAAAGACCCAATAGACCACCATAAATGGGGCCCAATAGGACTGATGTCCAACCAAAATTGCAGGCGCAAGCGTTATAATGTGCCGCGGCTCCGGCCTAAAGGACAAAAAGAACGAGGTGAGTTTTGGTCAGTAACAGTCTAACACTCTTCATCCTACCCAGGGCGAGAATAGTAATTTGAAGAAAACCTCCCCCCTCCCCCCCAAAAAAAAAAGCCGACGTAAGCCAAAGAACTGATCTATAAGATTTTTATTCTATTGTATCTCACACAGCGATAGTCAAACGGTGTAAAAGTAAAGAAACAGAACCATTTAAATCAATCTTCAAAACACGCCACTTTACATGAATCGGATCAAGTTCTCCAGCTTAAACTCTGTAAGACAGAGACAACATTAGTAATACAACATTTAGAGCCATAAAATACACACAAGCCCTTTCAAATAGTACCTCGGGACCTCAAAGGCACCGACAATGTACATACATTAACGAACTAAACGCGAATGAGTCGGCGATGAGTTTCGATGACCAGATAAGATAAGCTGATGTTTCGCTCGAGCTCAAATGAAGAGCTTCAACGAATAATTTGTTAGCTTTCCAACACGGTACATGATTAATTCGGTGTTAAGGTGAATAGGCAAAGTTAGAATGTTTTTAGAGGTAGTTTACAATGGGGAAATGCACTTATGTAAGTATCTGTTAAGACTAACACCCGGTTTCCGAAAGGCCGATCAATGTTAAAATCAATTTAATCTCTTGTCAAGTCATCTGATTGGTTGACTGAATTATCAACAACCAATCAGATGACTTGACAAGAGATTTAACAGGAGATTAGTTAATTTTAGAAATGACAAGCCTTTCAGAAACCGGGTGTTAATTATCAAATCTATTGTGCGTTTATCTATACTAATATTATGAAGAGATAAAATTTGTAAGTTTGTATGTAAGGGGTAATCTTTGGAACCGCTGCCTGGTTGGATTTCCAAAATTCTTTCACTGATAGATAGCTACAATGTTCCTGAGTCCTATAGGCTATAAAACATCACGCTACGATTAAATGGAGCGGAACAGCGGGTGAAACCGCGCGAGAGCTAGTGAATAACAAATATAAAAACGTTTAAAAGTAAGTAAGTAAATATACACAAAAATGTTTTTTCTTTCTTTAACTTTTAACCATGTATTTGTTTCTATTTCGTATTCTAAAAATACTGACTCCGCAGTCGACTATGAAGACCTCTTCTCACACGAAGAAGTTATGTATGTATGTAAATTTGACACCACGCCTACTCAAAGAAAATTGACATTATAAATTCGGAATTATTTTGTCCAGGTTCCTTTAATATGTTTTCTTTCACCTTATGTCAGTGGTGTCTAAATAATATTTGATTGTTCTCGAAGAAGTCACATCGGCATTTTCAAAGTTTCCACATTTGCGTTCTCACGATCTCTAGTGTTGATTTGAAAGTAGGAAGCATAGACATATAATATATAACCACTAATTAGATTTACCTTTTCTTAAATGTGATATCTTTAAACAAGACTTATCTGTAACTTAACAATCCTATGATCACTTGAATAATTCCCCTAAAATTTTGATAAGGTTCTTTTATGTGATGCGGCGGCAAACTAGCTAACGTAGGTACTTCTTTGTAATAAATAATCTCCCAAGGACACCCACAACACCAGAGGAGTTCCCAGTTTTTTGGGGACAAGAGGTTTTTTATGATTTTGGGATTGGGGATAGATGGAGGAGGGGAAGGGTTGACCTTCCGGTAACGTCACTCACAGACGAAACTGGCCGTTTTATTTGAGGCGTGGTTTTTCTTCAGTCGATACAGCCCATTTTTGCTGAAGCATAGGTCCCCCACACTTATACTATTTATACTTTTGAAATATATAATACACTAACTGCTCTCGCGCGGTTTCACCCACTGCTTGGCTCCAACAGATTGTAGCGTGATGTTCAATAGCCTATCTATAGCAATAGAAAACATTCTATTTATGTATCTATCTATCAGTGAAAGTATTTTGGATATCCGACCAGCTTTTCCAAAGGTTACCCCCAACATACAAACTTACATATTATACCTCTTCATAATATTAGTATAGAAGAGAATTTCCTTCTTATTATTTGTAATAAACCATTCTTAGACACACCATTATCCTAACTCATTGTCATAGCTCTATGCGCTAAATCTAAGTGTTTCTAGACTTGTCAAATAAGCTTCGTCTAATGCCAAGCGCTGTTAGAGTAGTGATGTTATCATATCGAATATATCGATATCGATGTTAAAGAGGTGTCGACAAAGAGGATGAGAGTGATAATGTAAGAATAAGATTTTTTAAACAGAGAACAGAATGTAATTGAGTAATCGCGGTTCCTTATTTTGGAATTATGTCAATGGAAAATTTTCAGATTATATTGTATTTGCATGTCTGAGTCTTTAATTCGATACCAGTTTAAAAAAAAATACGAATTTTTGCATCGTACCCCAAGTGCCATAGAATGGGATCGAGAAATGATATGCCACCGTAAGCGCAGGTCTGCGAGGACGGCGAGTAAGGGTAGCTCGTTAGGTTTCAAAACTACTTGTTAGGTTTCAAAACTGCACAATCATACTATAAAGTAGACCCCTTTTTTACTGACCAAAAGCCCCCCCACGTACTTTCTCCTGCTTTACTGGTCGTCGCGTTTACTTTTGCTGCGTCGCGGGGCCTCATTGCAGATCCCTAAACCTCCGGACCATTACATATACAAATACCAATGAAAAGTTGAAGTTGAAATCAAAATACATCTTTATTACAACCTAGAGGCATAAAAAATACAGCCTCGTGTTATATCTTCTAGTCTCAACAAAGTATCGATGTTGATGCACATCACTATTTGTTTAGCAAGCTCAGTTATGTAATTCAGTATCGGAGACACTTCAAAGTGAATACTCAGTATCCATTACGCTTTGTAGGGATTTTAGATATAAATTGTAAGGAAATACATTTTAATATAACAACTTTATGATAAATTGTTAAAGGGAGTGGACCAATCATTTTTATTTTTGTAAACTTTATATCAATATATCAATTGACGTATAAATATTTATGTTTGCTATTATTATTGAAGTATTTTTCTCAGAATATTTTTTTCCGATTCCTCACATTTTCAATTTTTTAGACTCTAAGTTTAGAGACTATAAATTAACTAATCCATTTTAATTGCAATTCTATTAAACAAAAGATAAAACAAAATGAGCTATATTGTTATGGTAAGCAATCGACGCCGCCCTTGGACACTCGCAACTTCGTAAAAGTTACGGCTGCGTTACTGCCTTTTGGGGGGTTAGGAATTTATTAACCCGTTCATGCCAAAGCATGGCTCTCCCACACTTATTTTTATGTAATAAACACAACATCAGAAATATTTGATCTGTTCAAATTTCAACATTCTAACTATCACGCTTCATGATCTACACCCTGGTGACAGACAGACAGATACAGTGCTTTACTAAGTAAGAGAATAACCGTTTTCATCCTTTAAGTATGAACCCTAAAAGACAAGGTGATGCACAATAAATAATTGCATACCTTAACTTTCTGCACGTCGATTTTATAAAATTTGTTTGATTTTGAATCTTCTTCGAGTGTGAAGTGAGCGTCGAAGTGACGGAGAAATTACATTATAGAATGCCACTTTTAACGTCATCTCATACTTTATCCATCAAAATGTTGCGGTCAATTTAGTTCAACTCACAAGTGTAGCGCTAGTGTACTACTACTCACTGCGGATTCAGATCCGAATGAAGACTTACTGAATCACACAGCAGGTTTGCAGAATAATTAAAATATGAATGATAATACAGGCCTACAAGATGAAACTTCTATTTGTAAAATTTGTCTACTTCTGTGTTACTGTACATCTTATAAGGTAAAGGCACCTAATTCCGCGCTGTTTTTAACATAACACGAAAGAACATTATAAATTAAGGATTTATCGGACCTTTGTGTACAATTTTATATTTTTATCAGAAGTGTTAGCTATCAAATTTTTGAAAAATATTTGCAGTTTGTCAGTAGAAGGTTATTGAAGCTGATAAAATAAATAAAAATATAAAAAAGTCCGAGGTACCTTATTCCGATTTAAAAATCGTAATTCCGATGCATTTGGTTCCTAATTTCGAGTATAAAAATAGAAAGGGAACTATGTAGGGAGAATTATATATGATGTTTAAAAGTCAAATCTGTTTTTGTTTATTCTAGTTTTATTCTAAACCCTGTTTTTTATTAATATTATTCCTTAATCTTATAAAAATATAAAAATGAATTAACAATATCAACATTACAATCTAATTGTTGCATTACAAAAATAATTACATTATTATTATTTTTGTACTTACAAGTTAAAAGTATAACAATTGCTATAATCATATCAAAATTAGAGCCTATTACGAGATCCAAATTTGTTTATTTTTTATATGAAATCAGTTCTTTTTTTGTTTATTCTAGTTTTATTCTAAACCCTGTTTTTTATTAATATTATTCCTTAATCTTATAAAAATATAAAAATGAATTAACAATATCAACATTAAAATCTAATTGTTGCATTACAAAAATAATTACATTATTTTTGCACTTACTTTAAAAAAAAACTAAACGTAAAAAAATAATTTTATTATATTTTTTTACAAACACACACTCCAATTTTATGTATTTGTATAGATGATTAGTATTCTTTCAGTTACTAAACGCGTATCTACTAAGCACATAAAATAATGAACACTCTGTATTTAAACAGGGTCTTAACTAACTTCGGAATTAGGTTCTCATGTAATCTTATTCCGACGTAAATACATCGGAATTAGGTACTCATGTAACCTTATTCCGACGTAAATACATCGGAATAGCGTTTTATGATGCTAAATCAAAGTTTCTAATTCCGAGTACTAAAAAGTAAAAGATTTTTTAATATTATGCAAATAAAATAATGTATAGTTACAATATGAAAGGAAAACAAATATAAAGTACATACATATAATAACAGAACACTTATAAAACCTAATGTCTTTACTAAAATCTTCTATACAACGTATTAATAAAGTACCTGTACAAACAATTTTTGACCTGCTATA